GATAAAAATGAGCATGAAATGAACCTTTGTTATTTCCTCTGATGCCACCCATATGACATCAACAATCAGAAGAGCAATGACACCTAGTAACAAACGGTTGGCACGATTGAGTTTGCTGAGGCCAAACATTGTAAGTGGTTCCAAGCAGCTACACACATGAGTTGCAATACACTTTTATACCATTATATCTACAGGTGCTATTGACTTTGGTCATATCATTATCATTTGGGCTGACCATTCCTGTAAAGATATAACAACAATTTTAAAAAATTGAAATTTGTGAGCCTGCCTACTTTTAATATTTAACATTGTAGACAAAAGAAAAAAAAAAAAAGATTTTTAAAAATATATTCATCTCTAAATCTAATTAGAGAACTCATAAAATGTGTTATTAAATTTTTGTTAACATTTGAGTATTACCATTACATTTCAAACAGAATGCATTCTTACAGGAATTTAGTTTATATATATATACCATAAGCAACTATTTTACAGAAAATCAGAAAACTACTTCTGACATCAGTCATTATAAAGCTTACTAAACTAATGTCACTAGTTACGTTGCAACCACAAATATGCTTCTATTATATAGATCTAAATTCAAATTACTGGTTGGGGAGAAAGTTGGGCCTGATACTTCATCGCGACTATTTATCTCCAGAAAGAATTTTTGTAGGCCTAGATGATAATTGGTATAATCTGCGTGTTACATGTTAATACTTATTAATAGTATAGACTAGGTCACTAGATCTAGAATTAGTATATATCTACTATCTCTACAAATTGAATCTAGATCTAGACTTCATTTTAATTTTATTTTAATATTTTTATACAATGAATATGAATACAATCCTTGTCAATCTAACTCATACTGTGATAATGATAATCTATTCTACTCTAGACTAAAGACTAATCTAATAGATCCTAGATTATATTTTCTACATTGATCTAGAATCTAGATCTATATAATATTAGTACGGTATATATTATATTATATTTATCTCAAATCCATCCATCCATCCCAGTGGAGCTACAGCCCATGGAGGGCTCTGGCCTGCTTCAACACATCCTTCCATTCAGATCTCTCTAGGGCCTTTTGCCTCCACGCCCTAAACCCAAACTGCTTCAGATCCATCGCATTCAGGGTCTGCCTTTGGGTCGCCTGCCTTTTGGTTTTTGCCTGTATACATTTTCCAGGCCTAGGTCGTTTTCTGTTGAGATCTGTCAGAGTTTTCTTGTGTGTATTAGCTTTCATAACAGTATTTAATAATACTGTATTTTTTTTATATATGACAGAGTTGTTAGCCCTGTGCATAACCATCTGGGGGGCTGCCCCTTTCAGATCTCTGGATAGTTACCTTTATTTTCGGGTAAGGTGCCCTAGCCTTTGTGGATCTCTCCACTTCCTGCAAGGCAGCAGGTTTGATTTTGGTCCCACCCCGGCCCCCGGGTATTTTATTTCCCCGGTACCCACCATTATGACCATATCTGAAGTAACCTAAGATTGATGGGCGTTCCCCTATCTGCCACCTGGGGAGGCACTCGATGGGAGATCAAAAACTCCACACAAATATAAGATCTAACTCTGATACTAGTGCCAGTAGTGGATAGTAGATCTAGTGACTAGTGCTACTCTACTAGGCTAAGTAACTTACTACGTCGGCTACGTCATTCACAAGAAGTCACACTCAACAAGTCAGTGACAAGTCATTTGTATTGATCTATCATCTGACGCCAGATATAGGCATAGATCTAATCTTAATGTTATTTAGAGATTTACCTAGATTCTAGATCCAGAAGATTTAACCAATTCCGACATGGCCTGGTTTATTTGGATGAAAAATTAGGACACTTCCGACTTAGTCTACTTGTCTTGTATCAGTATCTAGATCTAGATGTAGAGTTTTGTTATTAAGTACACCGGAAATGAACTCTGTTTAAACAGTATCAATTTATTGTTTAATTGATTTATTATAATTTCGACTATTAGATTCTCACCAGATATTTTTTTATTTTTTTTTTAGAATCTCATATCTTGTTGAATTTTTTAAAAAAGAATAGCATCATTGAAATATGCATACTATTTTTTTCAAGAATAAGTGTTAATACATAAATACTTATCACCTATCATTTGTATTTTACATTTTAAAATTGTATTTAACTTTCTTTCTCCGAAATGCCAGTTTAAGATCCGTATTCTATTCAAGCGTGACCTGTATCGAAGATATCGATTCATGTCACATGTAGTGGCATCCATGGTGCGAAGGGGTTCAATGAACCATTAGGGGCCCACAGCAGTAGCGGCCTTAGGGGGTGGAAAGTGGGGCAACCGCCCCAAGCCCCGCGATAGGAGATTCATTTGTCATCGTCAACTTCGAAAACCTGATCAGTTCTCATAAACCAGTACTCGTTACTCAATATCTTTGGAAAACTTTCCATACATCAACATGATACCAAATACTATCTAAGCTCTTATAAATATGACATAAATTTTAGCAGCTCGAGGTTTCTGTAAATTCCATTAAGTGTGTGACTTTGTGGTTGGATTTAGCTCTGAAAATGTCAAATGGTAGCACAACGAATAGCGTGATGCAAGAACAAATTAGAAAAAAAAACAACACTACATTAGCGGCTAAAGAACTAGGTCTAGGTCTAGATCCAACATTGGTTTTGAAAGGACAATCGCGTTCTTGGATTTCCTAATGTAGGCTAAGGCATTATTGATTCAAGAGTTTAAATAAATGAATGTTCAGGACAATTTTGCGCATCGTCTTCTAAGTCTAGATCTAAAGGCTTGTCATTGAAATACTATAAAGTGTACTAGAACTTTAGATTCGCTAAACCATGAATCTGTCTCTGGGAGGAATGTTAGGGATGTGGCGGCGTAAGTAATGCCCCATTGCTTTTTAATCTAACATTCGTTTGTCATTAAGAGAAAAAACCTTCACTCTATTATAAGTCGTATAAAGGAGGTATTGTCTTTCAAAAATGTTTTTCTTTTTCTTTGTACTGTTCTCTACAATAGGGTCTTTGCTAGCTCTGAAGGTTTTGACGGTCGTTGGCTTGTAACACTGAACTGCTGGTTGAAAAACAAAACGCTGTTGGCGTATTAACGCCGTATTATTATATAACTTTCAAAACTTGAAAATCACTTAAATAACTTCTTGGTAGCAAACTAAATAGAGCTTTTATTACAATAAAGAAACAAATTCAACTTGAGATAAAATGAAATAAACTTATGTTTTAAACAAATCTAACTTACAACAAGAAAAAAAAAAAGGTTATACGAACTGTAATTGTAGCAATTAGCTTCGATCAGCCATGTAATTAAATTTGTAATAGATCTAGTTATAGAGGGACTTTCTATAGTACGACAATTGGGCCTATGCTGGACATGGCACGCATCCCGTCTGGTTTCCTTATTAGAGAGCTGCTAATATGCTGGAGCTACCGGTGTAGCTTTCGTACTAAGGCGTTAATAGGGTCTCTAAAAAATAAAAACAAATAAAATCTAAATAGGTGCACAGGGTACTTTCGGTGTTCTGAAAATATTTATTATGTATAGTATATTGGATATTCTTTTCATGGAGATATTTTGTAAAAAGCAGTTAACTTCCGGACTTGTTTGCAGTGTGTGTTGTACAATTCGATTTTAATAAAAATCGTCATTATTCTCAAAAGTAGATGCAGCGACTACCTTTTGGTTTACTGAATATTTAATGTTTGTATGTAAAATTAAGTCATTTCCTATTCAATATAAATACGAGTGACCCAAAGTGGCCGCCAAACAAGGTTTGTGTAATAAAAAAAAAGTATGTCATCTTGTTTATTAATTTAATTTTGCGCTGAAACAAAATTCAATTTGTCTCCCTTTATAATCGCTCTATGAGGACTAAGTTAAAGACGCGGCTCGTCTGCAGCAGAACCATTCCAAGACTCGTAAAACTGTCAATATTATCAAAGACGTTTATTATGATTACATGTAATTGTCTGTTATACCAATAAATTAAATTGAAAAATTATGACTATAGCAGTGCTCGTTTTTTAACGTAAGCTTTCATATTTACTTTTTACAATTTGTATAGGTGAAATAAAGCTGAAATGCTATTAATATAATAAAGAAACAAAACAAATAAAAATATAGTTAATGAGTAATGCTTTAAAATATATATGTATATATATATATATATATATATATATATATATTAAGTGCACCTATTTAAAGCATTCACTTGATTTGCTTCATTTAGATTTTAATAACCAAGTGAAGCATAGGGCCGCATCAGTACTTCGCCATCGTACACTGTTCACTGGCAATATCTCTCGGGTCCATGTCCACCTTGCTTTCTTTTATTTTATTTATGTTGCTCTCTTCTATGTTTACTTTGGTCTTACAGCCTTTATCTTCCCATGTGGGTTCCAGTTCAGAGTCTGCTCTGCCTTTTTACTCGCCTGGGTGGACCACTTCGGGGGCCGATTTTCAATTTGTGTTTCCACGAAACACGAACTGTCTTTGTAACCTTGTTTATTATTATTATTGATTCTTGTTGTGCGAAATTTCAACTTGATCCGAGATTAGGTGAGGAAGAAACAACGTGTACAAACTTTTTACCAGACAGAGTTGGTAAGACAAGCCAGGTTTTTAGGTGCTCTAAAAGTAATAAATGACACTGACAGTAGACCTAATCGACTTACACAACGCGAGGTGTTAAATTGCTTTTACACGAGTGCCAGGTAAACGCCAAGATGTGAAGCAGTATAAATGTCATGAGATTTTAGTGAAAAAAATATCTCAGTAATAGCTTATCATATTCTCTACCACCTATACACACACATAAAAAAAATAAAGCATAAATTAAATTAAATTAAATATATTTAATTTAAAATATAAATCGTACACCTCTAAAGACACTGCACCTTCACATTGTTCCGGTGAGTACATCTAAATGAATGGAATAGAGGAACAAAAATAATAATTAAAAAACAAACAACGCAAAAAATTGCATCCGAAAATTTGTTTATTGCAATATCTATTTTCAGAACTTTCATTTTTTGTTTAAATAAAAATAAATTAATTTAAATAATAACATATTTATATGTATTTACAGCAGTTGGTTGCCACTCCGTAGTAAAAGACTTTTTCTTTTTTTTTTTTTTACACAAAAGCAATCGTTATAACAACAAAACTCACCAAATATTGATAAATAAATTTTTAAAAAATTACTACGGAAGACATTAGACATAATACATATTGAGACTGAATACGTCCATAGCAAGTCGTCCATTTCATTGTTGATTGTATTTTTGTTTTTTTTTAATTTTTGATACTGAAGAGCCGAGTATGTGTGTGTATGTTTGTGTGTGTATGTTTGTGTGTGTTTGTTACGTATGAAACATTGACACCCTACACATTTACTGTTGGCCAAATAAACAGAAACAAGCTTTGACGTCGTCTGCCCCTGTAAATCGCAAGGTCTGAATGGGAAACTTTACTTGACTTGCAAAACTTTGAGTAACAATTTAGTTTATATGAAAAGATCCGGATGTTACTTCAGACTTAAAGATGGTTATATCCTAGACCAAAACTCCCGAGGACAGGATTGAGGGGATAGTGACGAGCAGAATTCGAACACAGAACCATTGAGACGACAGTCCAGAGCGCAGGCAGCCAGCTTTCAAAATGTATTAAAAATTTAAATTATATGTAGAGCTTTAAAATTAGTCTGTAATGTGTGACAAATTGGTGGAAAATTTTGTAATACTTTTGTAGTGCACAGGTTCATAAGGACCATCGAGACGACAGCCCAGAACACAGACAGCCAGAGTTTTTAAAGAAATTTAAATTATATCTGAAGTTCTAAATTTTTTCTGTAGTGACAAACTGGTGAAATATTTTGTAATACTTTTGTAGCGCATATGTTCAATAGCCAAGAATAAAATGGATATAATATAATTGGTCTATACAGGAAGTTTGTATATAAGTTAAGGAAAGTAAAAAGGCTGTTCAGAGCTCGATAAAGGAAAGTCATGTTAATACACAACTCCTTCCCAAAACAATCAAATAATAATAATTAATGAATTGTTTAGATTTGTTCATTAGTTAAGCCGAGCGTATAGTACCAAGCTCCTTTGGCACGATGTTTGTATTAGTAAAGTTGACCCCCCCCCCCCTTTGTTCTCGCGGGAAAGGAGCGCACATTAATTGTAATTATACTGCTTATTTTATCGATACGCGTCTGAACGCAAATAGCTCCTCTGAAGAAACACTCAAAACACTCAAATTTGTCAAGACTTGATGATATAATATTGTTTGAATTGAGAAGCCGAAGAAAAGTCATAGAGTGTACGACGGACTAATTTTTTGTTGTAGGCGGGGGAGTGGGGGAAGCGGATTAATACAAGTGATACTAGAATTAACGGGCCCAAAATATAAATACATGCATGTGTCGGGGTCGCATTATGAAGCGGGTCTTTCCAAATCAAGTCAAAAGCCTATGTTGGAGAACAGGGCCAGACTTAACCTATGCGGTCGCAGTGGGCCCAGCACTTTCATAGAAATCTTCTGAAATTAAAAATCTCCTGAAAACTCATACAAATCTCCAGAAAAATAGAAAAAATTAGGGTGCCAATCCTAAGCGATAAAAAAACCCAGCATTGTCAGCTTTCATATAATAAAATTTTATTATAAACTCATACAAATCTCCAAAAAAATAGACAAAATTCGGGTGCCAATCCTACGCGCGATAAAAAAAAAAAAACAGCATTGTCAGCTTTCATTTAATACAATTTTATTATAAAGACGAATGTATTTCCTAATACAAAATCTTAATATTGACAATAGGCTTATCACTACCCAGACTAGGGCCTACGCAATCCGTTTCGCATAAGGCTCCGCAATGGCTAGGACCGGCCCTGTCGGAGAAATTACGATGCGAAAGGTTAAAATTAAAAAAATGGGTTCCTGAAAGCGAACACGATATAAATTTATATATATATATATATATATATATATATATATATATATATATATATATATATATATATATATATATATATATATATAATGACAGAGAGAGACAGGGAGTAAGAGAGAGAGAGAGAGAGAGGTGTTCTGGCCATAACAAACGTCTTGGGAAAAAAAAACAAGTGGTGTTACAGCTAGTTTGTTATAAGTTTACGGTTTTACAATTAGAATGCATAATAAATGGAAGTTCATAGTCGAGCTGCCCTGAGTTCTAGTCTAAACATGAGAAAAAAATTTTCAGAAGAAAAGATTTACTATTCCAATCTTGTATTCAGCAGTCTGATTTTTATAACTGGACAAAAATATTTATTGCCATTATTCCAAAACTTTTAGTAAAGATGATTTAAGCGCTAAAACATTCACTTAAATTGAGTTTTATGATAATAATATTGTATGTAATTTACTTTGTGTACGAATATAGCGGACATAAAGAAATTGTGTTTAATGCCATCATTGTGTTTCTTTGGTAATAATCAATAAGCTTGTCAGTAAGAGAATTCCTCTTCGCCGATTCCACTACGACTTATTCCGTTGTCGTCGCATCCACTATGGACATGGTGGTAGTACAACCTAGAGTAAACCAGACCTGGAATGTACACCAGGGCGCCGCTGCTCCCTGGGCAGGTGCTGTTGGAATAGGTGAACTGGCTGACGTTCTTATCACTCGCCCACGATGACCTCTCCTGCCAGGAGCCCAATGTGACCCTCTTGGACATGCCATGAGGGTGAGAGATGATGATGGTCAGTTTGCCGTCGTGGTGCTTATATTTGGCGTGGACGGATTCCTTGAGCCGGTCGTACTCGCCCAGGAGGCTCTCCAGCCTTTCCGCCAACGCCTGGTCGCATGTGATGCAAGTCATCTCGCAGCTGTCTCGCAGACTGTCACTGTACACGGCGTAGATCCCTTTGAGGACGACACTACCATTCGAGTCGCCATCTTCATCATAAAACAAAACGCAGGAAGTGCATTCCGCTTCCGAGTTGTCGTACACCACATGCCTAGCCGTTAGGATCTGAATCTCCCACCAGACGTCGCGGCGCTCGCCAGACGACACACATTTCTCACAGGGGCAGTAATGCAACTGTAAGTAATGTGACATTCCGTATTTATCTTTCCCTTTCACAAATTTGGCCACACGTCTGATTCTCCCAGTTCCCAGACGAATACTTCGACTCCCTCGTTTATCATAAAAAGGATATGTACTTTCTGTGATTGGGTCACACATAGGCCTTTCAAGGCTGACCCAACCGATCTGCAGTTTCACAGTCTGGGCTGCCAAGCATTTAACCATATGCTCTAGTTCCTCATCTCTGCAGTCTTCTGGTAGGTGATTTAGATTGAAATCCTTAATCGGTACAAAATTTACGTGTCCAGGATTCTTGGCGCATTCGTAAAATATTCTTGAAACGTCAGCTTCACTTTCAGACTCTTCAATTTCATGTTGAGCTGTAGAAATATAAATGCAAGTAGAATTAATATTTATTCTTAAACTAAACTGAAAATTCGCGTTCAGTCAAGGTCTCCCTATCAAACTCACATGGAAACAAATATAATAAATTATTTATAAGCGTGTGCCCGCAAGAGCTTCTTGAAAATCAACAACAAATTTTGAATATACAATGTAAAAATTAGATTAAAGGGATTATGAATAAAAACAGTTCATCCAAATAAAGCTCAATCTGCTTACAACTGATGCAAGACATGTTTATACAATAGTGAATCAAAACAAAAAATTATTAATAATGATATTTACGATATATAATATAATATAATATGTATATATAATGTTTACCTGGAAATCGAGCCCAATCAAAGGAGTTTTTATCTGCCATTTTATTAATGGTTTCCCAATTGCATATCTGAAATGGAAGAAATACTTTGATGATATACAGAAACTTAATTAAATTTAATGTTTCTAAAAGTTATTTAAACTTATAAATAATAAAAATTTGTACAACTTCATACTTCGTCCTTATGGCACTTATAGCGAGTGGGACCCGTAACGGAGACAAAGCGCTGTGAACGCGGCACGGCGCGGTCTGGCCCATTCAACCTATATGACCGTCTACCGCTGGAAGTCCTCAGACAGGACATGGGATGAAGAATCCCAATGTCCAGGACTGGTTGTTGGATAAAAGCCTTTCTAATGAACTACGGGATGAATGGCGCCAAAGGCGCCGATTCCTTACTGGATTTCATTAAAGGTGAACATCGCAAACAAAATGTCAAGTTTGTATGATTATTAGACTATCAGAAGGGCGACTATCTAGAACGACAGATGAATCTGAGATCATTTTCGACTGGAAAAGGGCAATAAGCAAAATTTAAAAAAATACTTTGAAAAGCTTATATCAAGTATATTAATTAGTTTGGATCAGTCATGTAATTAAGTTTGAAAAATACCAGAGACGACAATCAATAAAGAAAAGCTGTCTATTTTGTTACGTCAGGGACAGATGAAATTGGACCATATCAAGTCTAAATCAGTCCTGCTTTGCGTGGTCACTTTAGTCTTTTAAAACGCTTTCCTGAAGAGGATTATTGTTTGAGAGAATGCGTCGGAAGACCTCTTTTGATAAGTCAGTATCGGTGGAAAAACTTCAGATCTTTGGCTGATGACAGACCAGAGGTGGCCAAACTTTTCAACCAGAGGGTCCCATACAGTGGCATAGCTAGCCATGTGTGAGTGGTGCGGGCCGCACAGGGTATCAAGTGATGAGGGGCATCAAACTGATCGCAATATTTCTTAGAAAAAAAACGGCACACATTGTACATACATAAACAAACATAAACTACTTTATAATAACGTATTTTCGTTGTTTTATATCGGGAGGGGGGAGGGCATCATGAGGAGATGCCGCACTAGGCATCAAACACCCTAACTACGCAACTGGTCCCATGCAATACAGACACACGATTTACGTGCTACATCACTACAAAGTTGAGTCGAGTCCAATGGAACGAATGTGCGGCAGCTTTAGTAAACTTCATGGAACGGATAATGCCCGCGGGCCGTAGGTTTGGATTCACTGACATAGATGTCATTGCAGGAAATGATTATTGTTGGACTTAAAGATCTAATGGGCAGTATTTTGAGAGCATACGCTATGTCAATGAAATCGTTAACTTTCGGGATGGCGATAATGGTAGAAGATATTGAACAATACTACAAGCATAAATTCAGGTTTAACATTGAAATAATATTTAACTAAAGAGCTGCATTCTCTAAATAGTTCCCCTTTCAGACCATACGGTCTATGGAGCAGATGATTTAAAGGTCATCTACTCCTTTGTCCAAAGGTTAACGAGCAGGGCGTCATGTGGCCAGCACAACAACCAACCGCCTTTACTTTCCGCAACTTAAGTGACGTACCCATTACAGTTGGGTGGACTCAGGGGCGCCCTAAAAATTCCGAAATTCAAAATCCCAGTCATCACCGAGATTCGAACCCAGGACCACAGGTGCGGAAGCCAAGCTCTTAACCACTCAGCCACCGCACCCCATATTCTCTATAATACTCAGGTGCAATTTCGCCAGACGATAAAACAGTAGCGGACTTCTGGAAATCAGCAGAACAAAAAAGACTTATTAGCATGTGGGACAATCAAGCTATCGTTAGTTACAACACATTCTAGAGAGCTGGGCTCCTGGCTTCAACTACGTCTTCCAGTTACAATTTTAAAATTGTTAACATTTTATACACAAAACAAAGAAGAAATGGAGAGTTCGTCTTAGAAGCACAAAGCTAGACATCGCAGGAAAACATGCCATGTAATAATTGCAGCACTAAGATAGCAGGAAAAAAACAAAAACAAGCCACGTTCACCTTCCCACATCAGACTGTAAATAAAACATACCATTAATTTATTGCAACAGCTCTAAAACAGGGATTCTAAAACTGGAATGTTTATGTAATTAGAGCAAAACTATAAATATATACAACTTTTAGAGAACATTATGTAGTCTCTATCCTCATTTTATTGTAAGGCAGGATATATAGACGAAATAACTAAGGTTACTGAGGGAAGAAAGCGAAATATACAAACGAAATAACTAAGGTTACTGAGGGAAGAAAAGGAATAAAATATGTCGAGACTGGTACCAGGTCGCTGCTAGGCAATGGATCTGGTTCGAGGTCTGTGGTTCGAGTCCACCTCATAGTTATGTATATTTCGCGATATTTTCATTAATTTTCTTCTCTCGGTAACATTGGCCCCTTAGTCTTGCTAACATTTTATGCTACATTTCATGTTTATTCATACTTTTTTTTCACTGCTCTACACGCTTCAAACTCAAGAAACGTATGCGAATGTCACAATATAAGTATTTTCAAAAGTCAATGCTACAGGACACTATACAAAGTAAATTTATTGCGAAGACATAATAAACTATAAAGGTTTTATCTCTTGCAAGATTCACAATAAAAGTTAACATGGAAGGAGATGATACTAAGGTAAGATTGCAGATCGTATATAACTTAACAATAGGTCTACATACAAAATAAAAGCATTTACCAGACAACGTCTAATTGCAGCTCTAATAGACCAAAAAATATTTAGTTGGCGCTTGATACACTATATTGTTATATACTCTAATAGTGACCTGCATTGTTTAAATTTAGAACACAGTACAGTCTGACCTTTTCTCTTTCAGTATAAATCCCGAAATCTGAACTACACACCTTACGCAATGCTGAAGGAGAAACCCACATACTTTAACCTAGCTTGGTAACTAGCTATAAACTTAGCATTTCTTGCCAGATTGTGGGAATTTAAAAACTTTTGTTTACTTTACAGAGGGAGTCTAAAAGTGTAGGGATGTTACGCAGTGTTAAGATCAACTAATTTGAAGACATAATATAATTATTACATTTAACAGGTATGCCACGCATTATAAAGTGGATAGAGACTACATAATATTCTCTAAAAGTCGAATATCTTTATAGTTTTGCTCTAATTACATGAACATTCCAGTTTTA